TTTAATTAACCAATGTAATTTATTTGTTTGCAGCTTAACGTATTTCAAGATAGTATTGCTATATTAAAACCATTAAAAATTTGATATATCTGAGCTTAGAAAGCAAATTCAGGATTATGGATGAGTCGTGAGTCGAAAGATTTTCCTAATGCTTACGTGTAAAGTATAGAAGTTTATTTTAAAAATCTTTCGACTCACGACTCATCCATAATCCTGAATTTGCTTTCTAAGCTCAGATATAACTTAAGTACCATACATAAAACTGTTTTACCAACTTGGATTAATTTTAATTTTTTGAAACATTTAAATAACTTTTTATTTCAATGTAAGTACTGTACTGCATAATATTTTACTAATTTACGAGTCCACAAACTTGCAAACAATCTATCTCATAATGCATTATATTAATAGAATGTGTATTTGTATTCTTATTGTACAGTAGAATAAAATCAATTAATGTATAATACTGTACTCCATACATGGGTTATGAGAATCTCATTTTTGCCATTCAGTTGTGAATCACCAACACTTATAAATTTTATAATTGAATTAAGTTTTTGTACAGTAGATAGACATCAAATATGAATTAACGGAGACTCTGTAATACTCATATTCTGTTCGTTGATAAAAGCTTTTTTAATAGAATTTTAAAAACAGGCTTCAAAATCAATAATTATTAGTGTTTACGACAATTTTCTACTTTTATGTTGTTTATAAAAATTTATAAAAAGAACCAAAAATAAATTACACTATTTTAGAATATTCTATAACATTTAATTAATTTTGAGTGAATAGCAAATTGTCAATTAAACTAAATCAAAATATTATAATTGCTAATTTGTAAAGGACTGGTATAAATCAATATTAATTATAATTACCGGTAATATTATTTTGCTTAGAAATGAAACAAAATCGTGTGAAATGAGAGAAGAGAATAATATTATGATAAAAAGAATGCACTAAAAGTAATTGATTGATAAGAATAGTGAACATTCAATGATATGATATATTGTACAATATGTATGAGTAAACAAAAGGTCCACAATATTGCCCAATAAAAACTCCTATTCTTTCATATCTATCATAAGGTCTGAAATAGTTTGGTGTTACACTTCTCAACCAATCAATTATTTCTCTTTCTTATTGATTGAACTACTTTACAAAAAAGTTTAACATTTATCAATATAATGTAAGCTAAGATTTTTGTACTATTTGAGTATATGTTAATATGGAATAAGAATTTTTNTTAAATCAATAGTAAATTAATCCGTTTAACATATATAATATAAAATTTAAAATATTTAGTTTAAATTAAATCAATAGTAAATTAATCCGTTTAACATATATAATATAAAATTTAAAATATTTAGTTTAAATTAAATCAATAGTAAATTAATCCGTTTAAAAATATATAATATAAAATTTAAAATATTTAGTTTAAATTAAATAAATAATAAAATGAAATAAAATCTAAATTTTTGTATATAATTATGGGTTTCTGAGATGTTTGGGAATAAAAGGGAGTTTTAAGAGTTCAAACACTTCTTGCTCTGTCCGTGGATTCAAATCAGTTCCAGTGTTCAAATCATGCAAACAGTGGTTATCTAATCTAAAATTCAACTCTTTTCTGGCATATTCTCGAAGACTTCTGCAAAACATTTCATTACCCGTCCATCCAATGGATGCCAAACATAACTGCGATTTGGGACAAACAATTAGGTCGACCCGACATAACTTCCACTCTCTTTGAGTGCCATTTCGGACGAAATCAAAAATTGCTTTTGTATTGTCTCTATCAAAGTATGGTGTCTTCAGTTGACAATTATTTTCATCGGCCGGTAGTTTGAAAAGTGTAAACATTTTGTCAAAATTATCTAAAGTATTATCTTTACTCTTAGTATCGGAGTTTGAATTTTCAGATTTACTAAAATTTGCCAACAAAATCAAATCCATTTCCTTTAATTGCTGGTAAATGAGAGACAGTAGACCCGTCTCCCGGCCTTCTTCCTTATGAGTGATCAGAATGTCGACGTCATGTCCACACTCTTTGCCGCGACTGAAACCACCGGTTAAATGGATTTCAATGTTTGTCGAATCGTTTCCAAGTTTTAAATCAATTGCTTTTCTGACTAAAGATATAATTTGATTGGATTCTGATTTCGTGACAAAAGCATTCAAATCCGCATAGAAAGCCATCCCATACAAGACTCGCAAACTTTGATTCTTGAGAACAGAAGTCGTGTTTATCACGTCATCCAAAGATCTCAGCCCCAAATCATACCATTTCTGTGCAGTCTTTGGTCCGATTCCATAGATATTAGTAAATAAAGTCATTGTCTTAAACCAATCAGAGTTACGAATTGTGTCGACTTCACGACTGACTCCTTCATCCAGAATCTCTTGAATTATTTTCTTTGAGTGCTTTCCGATGTCCTTAAGACATGACACTTCATCCACATGTTTGACAGCAAATGGAAGCGACTTGAGAACAGCAGCCGCCTTCTTGAAGCCTAAATAGCGAACCGTATCAAACAAATGGGCCCTCAGTTTGGCCTCTTTGGCCATTACTTCCAATGGTTCCTAAAAGATATAACAATTAAGTTATAATAATCTATAGGTAATAGTCGTCAACAAACTTACCGAGAGTTTAGAGTTTTGATGATTAAGTGAACTCATTCGCTGACAAATATAATCGCCATTTGATGACTCTTTTGTACATTCATTGGAAGTCTTGGAATCAATTCCCTTCTAATCACAGAATTTTTAAAAATATTAAAAATATAATTAAAATACAAGACTTAGTGTTGTATTGAATACATGTCTGCGTTTAAGGCGATAATTGGTGTTAAAAGGCATCAGTTGTTGGGATTGCATACTATCGGTGAGCCATCGGGTGTTCACCACAACTGCCTTCAACTCTCTTATATCACATCCAATCGATTCCATCACTTGTTCCTCGTATTCAAAGTCAGATATTATATAATCAATGGATTCACTGATAAACACATCAAAAGTATATAAATAAGTGAAAACTTATTGAATTGAATGTGAGATATAGTGTACCGGAAGTGGTCACTGACTACAAGACCCAAAGTCTGAGCGTTTCTCTCGAGAATTGTCATCCGTTTCCTATGAATGCCATCTCTGATGAAGAATACATTCGTGCCATTCATCTGACACTCGCTTCTCCTGCGTTTACCACTTATTTCACTCATTAGACACTCGAAGAATCACCTTGCTTATTATGGTAATACATGCATCATTTGAGTCCAACTTTATAAATAGAAAACTTTAAAATAAATGGTTTTATAATACAGAATATACGATGAGTTGCATTGAATAGCACTATAATATACTTCATGTAAACTATCAAATCAATTATAACCACAATTTAGTGCCAATTGTCTCATATAACAGTCAACTGATGCCAAAAGGTGTCAATCAATGCATTGCGTGTTCACTAAAGGCTTTAATTACAAGTTTTGTCAACAATTAAAAGCTCTTTAAATGTTTGTATGATTCACTCATATATTATGTCCATTCATATCATCACAAATGTATTCAATGTAAATAAGGGGTCACTAATGAATGCAAACATAATTTATGTGTAAAAGTAGAGTATTTTTGATTAAGAAATGCATTGAGTATTGAATCAGATGTTAGATTACGTGTAGATATGAATGAATTGATTGCAAAACCATTGAATGAGTAATTCATTGATGAATTGATAGCACTTTCACAGCAATTAATACACAAGTTCTCCATTAAACTCATTAATCGTATCATTCATTCATTCATACATTTATCATAAAATGTGTCAAATGATGACAATTAGTATTTGTTTGAAAGTATTAACACATAATTTGGGTGCAACCAGATTGANTCTTCGGTAAAGTCTAAATACTGTAATTTGTTACTAATATGACCCAGACCATGATCCACACTTTAGTTTTGCATAATAAGTTTTATCCACAATCTTTTCTTATTGTTTAACAAAGTAATATTTTTAAAATTCTTATGATCATTCATTATTAAGTAGTGAATATTTTATAAAATATTGTTGCATAATATTGTATAATAATATTGTACAGTACTATAATATTAAATTTATCTAATTAATTGTAAAAATATTATTCTATGCTACTATGAATACATTGAATATTGTTTTCAATGTTGAAATACTTTTCATTTCAATGAAATGATGTTTTATATCAGATTTAGCCGCAATACAAAAGTTTCATTTGTCTCATTGACATTATTTCACTTCAATAATTATATTGCACTCATATTATGCTGTGAAACACTAAACATCTCTCATTTCAGTTCTAGTCTATTGATTATCCTTTCTGTAAAAAATATAGATAATTGTTGCAAGAAATGATAAATTGTATGACTGGACAACTTTATTACCATTTAATCGATTTTAGTTATTCGTAATAAATCTTTATCTTAAAAACAATTTATTATAATTTCTAGTCCAATCGATTGTTTTTAGTCAAATCAATAAATAACTATTAGTATTCAGAGTTCTAATTTGAATAACAATTTAATTAACCAATGTAATTTATTTGTTTGCAGCTTAACGTATTTCAAGATAGTATTGCTATATTAAAACCATTAAAAATTTGATATATCTGAGCTTAGAAAGCAAATTCAGGATTATGGATGAGTCGTGAGTCGAAAGATTTTCCTAATGCTTACGTGTAAAGTATAGAAGTTTATTTTAAAAATCTTTCGACTCACGACTCATCCATAATCCTGAATTTGCTTTCTAAGCTCAGATATAACTTAAGTACCATACATAAAACTGTTTTACCAACTTGGATTAATTTTAATTTTTTGAAACATTTAAATAACTTTTTATTTCAATGTAAGTACTGTACTGCATAATATTTTACTAATTTACGAGTCCACAAACTTGCAAACAATCTATCTCATAATGCATTATATTAATAGAATGTGTATTTGTATTCTTATTGTACAGTAGAATAAAATCAATTAATGTATAATACTGTACTCCATACATGGGTTATGAGAATCTCATTTTTGCCATTCAGTTGTGAATCACCAACACTTATAAATTTTATAATTGAATTAAGTTTTTGTACAGTAGATAGACATCAAATATGAATTAACGGAGACTCTGTAATACTCATATTCTGTTCGTTGATAAAAGCTTTTTTAATAGAATTTTAAAAACAGGCTTCAAAATCAATAATTATTAGTGTTTACGACAATTTTCTACTTTTATGTTGTTTATAAAAATTTATAAAAAGAACCAAAAATAAATTACACTATTTTAGAATATTCTATAACATTTAATTAATTTTGAGTGAATAGCAAATTGTCAATTAAACTAAATCAAAATATTATAATTGCTAATTTGTAAAGGACTGGTATAAATCAATATTAATTATAATTACCGGTAATATTATTTTGCTTAGAAATGAAACAAAATCGTGTGAAATGAGAGAAGAGAATAATATTATGATAAAAAGAATGCACTAAAAGTAATTGATTGATAAGAATAGTGAACATTCAATGATATGATATATTGTACAATATGTATGAGTAAACAAAAGGTCCACAATATTGCCCAATAAAAACTCCTATTCTTTCATATCTATCATAAGGTCTGAAATAGTTTGGTGTTACACTTCTCAACCAATCAATTATTTCTCTTTCTTATTGATTGAACTACTTTACAAAAAAGTTTAACATTTATCAATATAATGTAAGCTAAGATTTTTGTACTATTTGAGTATATGTTAATATGGAATAAGAATTTTTAAGTTATATTAGAATATTCTAAAATTAGATGATTTTGTTCAAAACTATCTTATATTTAAATTAATTTTGAATATAAGATTTTCTTACGTAATTTTTCATAATGGACATAGGATAAAATATAATTTCTGAATATCTAAACTTATATAAATAGTAGTTTAGAAATTCAGAAATTATATTTTATCCTATGTCCATTATGCGAAAATTACATAAGAAAATCTTATATTTAAAAGTAATTTAAATGAAAAATGTCAACATTAAAATTAAATTCTTTAAAAATAATAAGACTGTAGTTTTGAGTAAAATATTGACTTGAATTGAATTTTTTTCTTATTTAGACACGAAATGCATACAACCAAAGGCTGATTTCCAATACAATCGAAAAAAATATGCGCTCAAATTATGAATAAATTAGTTTATTTGTTTTAAAAGGGAAAAATATAACAATACAGACATTTTAAATCAATATTAAATTAATCCGTTTAAAAATATATAATATAAAATTTAAAATATTTAGTTTAAATTAAATCAATAGTAAATTAATCCGTTTAAAATATATAATATAAAATTTAAAATATTTAGTTTAAATTAAATAAATAATAAAATGAAATAAAATCTAAATTTTTGTATATAATTATGGGTTTCTGAGATGTTTGGGAATAAAAGGGAGTTTTAAG